AGCCTGATGAGCTGTCAAATGAATAAGATATAATGCAGTCAATGGAGGTCTCACGTTTACCCAAAAATAAATACAAGACTGAAATAGTGTTGCACAGCTCCAAAATATACAAAGGCTTGGAATCAATTAATTAATCATGTAAACTTTGAAAATATTTTACAAAAAGAAAAAGATCTTTGCAACATTTTTAAAAAGGTTTACTATTTACATTTCGTTTGTACAAAAATACAAAAGGTGATGCAAATCTGTTGTGTTCTAGCTGTGAGCCAGGAGTGTCTCGTACCGACCGAGCCAGTTACACTGCAACCCTCAACTTTTTACATAGTTGGTTTGTTTTTCATATGTTTAAAGTTAGTTTTTCATGTTTTTTCATGTTAATGTTTAAAGTTTGTGTTGGTGCTTTCCCATACACGTCTGACTGTCTGAAACCCTTTGGCAGAAGCATGGCCTGTACTGTCCTGATCATGCATCCTACATTAATGAACCATGTAAAATATGTTTTAATCAATAGGGGAAATACAGTCTTTTACACAAATCATCACATATCATCATCAATATAACTTTAGGTTACAGCGAAAAAGAAAAAAAACTTCACAAGCTCCACTATACCAGTGCAATAGGAGAAGATTATTTTTTTGTTTTTAAACTTTGAAATAATGGTAAATTCAGGGAATCATGTCTCGGAGTATAACAGTATTTTTTCTCATAGGTTAAAAGGTGTCTAGGTCAATGCAAACCAGAGAAGATTAGTACCTCTGGCTCTCGCTTCTGTGTTAGGGTATTACACTTCAGGGTTGGGCTCAATTCCATTTCAATTCCAGTCAATTCAGGAAGTAAACTGAAATTCCAATTCCAATTACGATTGTCTTCAATGATTTTCAAAGAGGAAAATGTGGAATTGGAATTGGGAATTTGGTTTACTATCTGAATTGACTGGTATTGAAATGGAATTGATCCCAACCCTGTTACACACATGGGATATGTCTCACAGAAAGGCAGGCAATAGTTTCTTCTTTGAAAACGTTTGTCTGTGGGGCCTGGACTCAGACGAACCAATGTCTTTAGTTAGTCTGTGGGGCCTGGACTCAGAAGAACCAATGTCTTTAGTTAGTCTGTGGGGCCTGGACTCAGAAGAACCAATGTCTTTAGTTAGTCTGTGGGGCCTGGACTCAGAAGAACCAATGTATTTAGTTAGTCTGTGGGTCCTGGACTCAGAAGAACCAATGTCTTTAGTTAGTCTGTGGGGCCTGGACTCAGAAGAACCAATGTATTTAGTTAGTCTGTGGGGCCTGGACTCAGAAGAACCAATGTCTTTAGTTAGTCTGTGGGGACTCAGAAGAACCAATGTCTTTAGTAAGTCTGTGGGGCCTGGACTCAGAAGAACCAATGTCTTTAGTTAGTCTGTGGGTCCTGGACTCAGAAGAACCAATGTCTTTAGTTAGTCTGTGGGGCCTGGACTCAGAAGAACCAATGTATTTAGTTAGTCTGTGGGGCCTGGACTCAGAAGAACCAATGTCTTTAGTTAGTCTGTGGGGCCTGGACTCAGAAGAACCAATGTCTTTAGTTAGTCTGTGGGGCCTGGACTCAGAAGAACCAATGTCTTTAGTTAGTCTGTGGGGCCTGGACTCAGAAGAACCAATGTCTTTAGTTCGTCTGTGGGGCCTGGACTCAGAAGAAACAATGTCTTTAGTTAGTCTGTGGGGCCTGGACTCAGAAGAACCAATGTCTTTAGTTTGTGGGGCCTGGCCTGGGGGAAAATGGCTACATTGCTACTTTACCGAAAATTGAAAGACACTTGCAATGGGAACACAAATCATCAAAATATAATATATATATTTTTTGGCTGCATACATATTATGTCAAACTACAGTTACTAATCCATATGAACAATTAAAAATGACTTCAGAGGATTCCAAATATCTACTCAAGGTGGACTTTGATACCATGTAGTTTAACGTTTATATTCTAAAAGTGAGTCCCAAATGGCCCCCTATTATTTCATATATAGTGCACTACTTTTGACCAGAGCCCTATGGGGTAGTGCACTATATAGGGAATAGGGTGCCATTTGGGATGCATTCTAAGACTGCACCATCAAGTTTAGCATCAGCCAGTTCAGTTCAATTCAATTATATTATTATAGACTCTGATATGAAATGTCTTTAAGTTTCACCATCATTCCTCTTCTAGGTTATTCTATATGATAACAAAATAACTCTCTGGATAAAATACCCTGTGATTAAAAATAGTTTCTATACAATGCTGTATAATAATTGTAATTAATGAACGTCATCTTGTACATCTTGTCATGTTGTCGCACCATAATCAACATTTAAAAGAGAGAGACAATGCATAGAGAGCTACCTGTCTCTTGGTTCCCCAATGTTCCCCAATGTCTAACCAGCCATTTTGTGTCATTTTGACCACAGAAAGGTTAACCAAACGCCTAGATATTTATAGTATGGCATTTCAACACCATGCAAATGAATGGCTGTAGTTTTATAGTCCAACAGTTTGCAAAACGATAACATGAAATAGAATGTTAACACAATTATACCACACACTCTTAGAAAAAAAGGTTCCAAAAGGGTTCTTCGGCTGTCCCCATAGGAGAACCCTTTTAGGTTCCATGTAGAACCCTCTGTAGAAAGGGTTCTACATGGAACACAAAAGGGTTCTACCTAGAACTAAAAGGGTTCTACTTGGAACCAAATAGGGTTCTTCAAAGAGTTCTCCTATTTCGACAGCCGAAAAACCGTTTCAGGTTCTAGATAGCACCTTTTTTTCTAAGAGTACAGGGAGGAATTGTAGTGCGTTGCCCTACCTAACACCAACCCTACCGCTACCTGCTCTGCTCTCTGTCCATGTAACACATACACACACAGATGTGCACGCACACACACCCGCGCACACACACACCCTACCTCCCGTCCCATCTCAAGCTCAATTCATCTGACACTCACAAGGATTTCACCCTGGATCTTTTAACTGATAACTAACTCCAGAACTTCCTCATCCCTTGCCTGGAACCTACGTACTCTTATAGCTTTCTTTCTCTACATACATAGCTTCCCCAAATTCTCTGTTTGATTGTCCAGTCATTTTTTGTTCATTTTACAGTACAAGATACCCCCCTGTCCATGAACACAACTATACAAAACAGAATTGTCAAACATTTTGTACATATATTCAATTACACTAAACTTTACATATTCAAAAATGAAACTGAAAATACGATATCTTTTCTCGTGGTAGTATCTCTAACAGATATTTTCCCTCTTGAAAATGATATGGTGTTTTTTTTTATTGCATGCGATAGATGAAAATATTAAAATAAAACTACGGACACCCCAGTGTTCTGCAGCAACGGATATTCATTAATGATAGATCATGTAAAATTCTAATTAGTTCACAGCTTTTTCCTCCTATAACCTCTTACACAGTGTCAGTTCAGTTAGTTCTGCAATTCAAATTCGCTGAGTATTTTAAACATTTGTCATTTTATCTATTTATCTCTATGTTAGATCTGTACAAATGAACAGTAATATGGTTGCAGAGGTATTCATAGAACACATTGAGTGACTTCATTGATCTACAGTTTGTTTTTCAATGTAGAAACACAACTCTTCAAGATTGGTCTGTGCACCAGAATGTCATAACTTAAAATGTATAACCCATTTGTATGTTGAATTAGTTTAAAACCTGAAAAATACTAGACAGAAGCATAACATTTGAGTGAAATCAACAACAACAACAAAAAAAGATTCAACCGATATTTTCACGAGGACAGATGATTTGTTGTTTCTCTTAATAAGGTAGTATGATTAATGTGTTGGGCTTTGTGACGTGCCCCTGGCTACTGATGATACGGAACTACGGAAAGAGTGCAGCCCCCCCCCCCCCCCCCCCCACCCCCATAGAAACAGAATCTAGAATCTAGTCATTCTAGAATGTAGTCATTATACATTCTAGAATGATATGTGTATGTCCCCACCCCACGCTGCTACACATGATGGGTTTGTGTGGTTATAAAATGTTTTGTACGTCTCTTCATATAGCTATGTTCTTTATATTCAATACAAATATACACAATAGGAATTTTCCATTATAAGATTTGTTTAATTTTTTTCAAGGAATATTCTTGAAGAATTCATAATGATGAAGTGCAAAGGAGAAGTTCGTCTTTGAAAACCCAATCCATTTCAACCCCCCAGCTAGCTAGCCAAACATTAGTAGTAAAGACCCTCGATAGCTTTTCACTCTCTGTTTGTTTTTCTACTCCAAAAAACCTGTATCTCCTTCAGAATAGTCAGTGAATCCCCTGCCTGCTTGGCCCTCCAGCACAGAAAGGCCACAGTACGATTGTCTCAGCAGGTTAGCCCAATCATCTCTTCTGACACCTTGACATCTGCACCAAATAACTTTAAGAAGACCAAATATTTCCCTTATGTGTCACTGCCAGGAATCCCTGCATTGAGAGCGCTTCTAGGGGCATTGGTCACAACTCATATTCCTATTTCTCAATGTATAGTTTATCTATGATAGAATGGTATGTAGGCCTACGTGTGTTGTTAACTCACTCTTGGTAAAACAATACTTTGACACATGGTTCTCAATAGTGATCACAATCCATTGTTTTGTGTTAGGAGCAGTAGCATAGAAAACGTATAGCTTATTCATTTTGTCGACTGGGAATATTTTGTTTAGTGGTTTAAATAATTACCTGTCCTCTGGGTAAGTGTTGAGAGAAATTGAATTATTTTGGAAAGCAGTTATTTTAGGGTCATGTTAGGACACAACATACAAGTGATCCAACATCCAAGAAGATAAAAAATGATGATGGATGTTCCACACACAGGTCGTCTTACCCCTCCATTTCTCTCCTCTTGTCCACGTTTCGCTCAATACAGGATCTTGGGTTATTTAAAAAACGGAGTTCAAAGTTCAAAACAAGACATTCTGTCTTTCTTTACACTGAACAAAACACAAAGTTGTGTTCTTCAGTTCTGCACATAGATATCCAATCCCCAGGCAGGTAGTCCAGAGTAGAGTCTCTCTCTCTGGTTAGCCACTCTTTGTTTTGCTGTGTGTATCCATCAGTACTCAGTAGATAAGAACAGTAACAACACTGAACCAGATCCATATCAATACGTCTACGCCCCAAATGGGACCCTATTCCCTATATGGGCCCTGGTCAAAAGTAGTATACCAAATAAAGAACAGGGTAGATGTCTCTGCACTGAGCATGCCTTTTATTTACGAGGAGCGATCATCATGAGGACTCCCATCTGAGTTTTCCGTCTCCCCCTCTGATATGACCTGCATGGGCGCCGTATAGAGCCGGCTACGGGTGCTGTAGCGACTACTATTGGCTGCAGGGGGGATCCGGGAGCGCCCCTGTCTTGACGAAGCCGACGTGGGAGGTGTTTTGGGGCTGAAGCTGTCCGAACTGGGCCTGGGGAAGTGGCTGGGGGGAAAGAGTTGCTCCCCGGCCCCCTGCAATGACGGCTCCTGGAGGGGAGAGGGGGGCTCCTCGGTGGGGTACCTGACCTGGCCCTCCGCAGCCAAGGGGTGCCCAGGGGACTTGGGGGCGATGGGGCTCTTGAGGATCTCTGTAGCAGACATGCGGTAGCTGGAATCAGTCCGGCTGCCCTTCTTTAGGAGAAGCAGCTTGAACTCCTCGTTGGAGGTGCTGGACTTCTTGGCGCTGCGGTAGATGGGTCCTGGGGTGCGCTGGGTCCCGGCCAGGGTCAGGGTGGAGAGGGCTGGGGCGGGGGGGGTGATGAGAGGGGGTGGTGGGGGGGCGGCTGGGAGGATAGCTGCAGGGGGAACGACGGCAGCCGGAGGAGGACACAGACGGCTCTTCACACTCAGCTCTCCAGAGTCCTTACGGCCCAGGACTTTCCTCTTGGACCTAGAATAGGAGAGTGTTACACGGTTCAGGTAAACAGGCCATTTTATAAACCTTTCTGCTGTAGTTCATATGTCTGATGCATTCAATGTGTGTTCTCAGTTTGTTTGTAATTTGCTGCAACTTTCAAAAACAATAAAGATCTTTGAACTGAATTGAAGATACTGACAGATAAAGGTAATGATAATATTTGTTATGACAAGTGCAGCTATAACCTAGTGAGTCAAAATAATACAGTTATTTCAACTGAATTGAAAGTGACCTGTGGATCATGGCGAACAGGTCTTCAGTAGTACGTGATTTGCTGGGCGACATGAAGACGACATCATCATCAAGTTTGGTTGTTTCGTCAGTCAGAGGAGAGAGTGAGTTATCACTGGGACTAGTAGACTCTGGAGGAACAGGAACAGGATGTTTTAGGGAATATCATGCTAGTGATCTGATCACTTTCCTTATAGATCATTAAAGCCTCTAGAGATCAGAGGACCACAACTGAAGTGATCTGATCACTTTCCTTATAGATCATTAAAGCCTCTAGAGATGAGAGGACCACAACTGAAGTGATCTGATCACATTCCTTATAGATCATTAAAGACTAGAGATCAGAGGACCACAACAGAAGTGATCTGATCACATTCCTTATAGATCATTAAAGCCTCTAGAGATGAGAGGACCACAACTGAAGTGATCTGATCACATTCCTTATAGATCATTAAAGACTAGAGATCAGAGGACCACAACAGAAGTGATCTGATCACATTCCTTATAGATCATTAAAGCCTCTAGAGATCAGAGGACCACAACAGAAGTGATCTGATCACATTCCTTATAGATCATTAAAGCCTCTAGAGATCAGAGGACCACAACAGAAGTGATCTGATCACATTCCTTATAGATCATTAAAGCCTCTAGAGATCAGAGGACCACAACAGAAGTGATCTGATCACATTCCTTATAGATCATTAAAGCCTCTAGAGATCAGAGGACCACAACAGAAGTGATCTGATCACATTCCTTATAGATCATTAAAGCCTCTAGAGATCAGAGGACCACAACAGAAGGAAGGGAAAAGGGGTTATACTATTACTTGAAGTCTCTTAAATTAATACATAAATAAAAAAATAATTGATTGCTAAAAAGTCTCAAAGTAAAGTACTAAGCAATGTATTAAAGCTGCAAAATGTAACTTTTTGGGTGACCCGGCAAAATTCACATAGAAATTTGTTTTTATAGATCTGTCATTGTCATTGAAAGCAAGTCTAAGAAGTGGTAGATCTGTTCTATGTGCGCTATTTCTGTGCTTCCCGTTTTTGTGTCTTTTACTTTCGGTTTTGTACACCAGCTTCAAACAGCTGAAAATACAATATTTTTGGCTATGGAAAATATATTTCACAGCGCTTTAGATGGTACAATGATGCACTACACTATACTTGTTTGTTTTGACACATAAACTGAAATTAGGCAAACTGTTAGAATTTTTGCAAACTGGAAATGGCGGAGCGATTTCTGCATAATGCATCTTTCAGTAAAGTAAAAGTTAAACCCATCAATCCAGACTCACCTTTGCTGAAGTAGTCCTCTGTGTCCGGTGTGGTGGAGTCATCTCTGCTGCTATCCTGAGAGGCACTTCTGGTAGGAACCCCTGATGATGCCATCTCATAGTGGTCCTCACCACCACCTCTCAGATCTCTCACATGGCTGATTGAGTAAGGGTGTGATGCTTCCACAGTTACACCAGGCACTTTGTCAGGACTGCTGCTTGGGCCCAAGTCCCACCTCCGGACCATGTGACTGTGACAGGACTGTGTCTGTGACTGGCTGTGATAATGTGATTGGGACTGATATGAGTGGGACTCCTCTAGCGTCTCGTACGTCGGTGGTTCTCTTGGATGATCTCTTTGATGATATTCTCGATATTCTCTAATGAGGCCTTGACTGTGACTCATAACCCTTGATATCTCTCTATCTTGCTCTTCCTCCTCCTCCTCTTCTTCATCCTCGGTCCGCTCCCCTAACACGTGGCACTCCGGGTGTGTGGTAGGAACCACGGGTTCCGGAGTTGGCGGCGGAGCTCGGTGCATGGGTTCCTCGGGTTCCATAGGTTCCGCGGGGCAAGTCCGGAACGCCGTCATGGCCCAGAAGGTTCCGGGGCTGTAGCGGTCCTGCCGGTGCCTGGCCAGGCTCTCGTAGGGCGGGGGGCCGTCCGGGTGCTGCATGGGGGTGGGGTGGTGCTGGGGCTGGGGTACAGAGCGGTGGTGGTGCTCCTGAGTAGGGTGGTGGGAGTCCTGGATCGGTGGTGGCGGGGGTTTCTGGGCGATGGGTCTCCTGGGTGGCAGGGGCCTGGTGTTGGTGTCAGAGTGGGGGGTGACGATGGTTACACTGGGCATCTTGGGTCTGGTGGCAGAGGCCCCTGGAGCCTCGTGGGCCCATGCTTGTGGTGGTGGTGGAGGCTCCTGGCCCTGAGCACACTGAGCACCCTGAGCCTGGGGCTGAGAACCATCGGTGGCCCTGTGGCCGGTGGAGCGCAGCTGGACCGAGCGCAGCACCGTTGGGGTGATGGCCAGGGCCATGGGGTTGGCAGCAAGTGGGGCCTCTGGAGTCAGAGTGGATCCATAGATAAACCCAGAGGAGGCTGAACTAGCGTTAGCGTTAGCACTAGCATTAACACTAGCATTAGCACTAGCATTAGCGTTAGCGGCTGCAGTGTTACCCGCGGTGGTCCGGGCCTCTGCTGCTGCTGCCTTCTGCTTGTTCTGGTGCAGCGTGTGCATGTGGGTCCGGTTGGCCAGAGTGGGTAGTGGTCGGCTGCCGTGGGCGCTGTGAAGAGCACTTAAGTCCAGCTGGGTGGGTGGAGCCGGGAAGTCATAGTCTTTCCTGGATGACGAGGAAGAGGAAGAGGAAGAGGAAGAGGAGGATCCGGAGGCAGAGCTAGAGAACTGGGTCTGGGCCTGGTGCTGCAGCGAGGAGAGAGAAGACTTCCTCTCGGGGACTTTGGGTTTCCGTTTCCCGCTGGTCGGAGAGAGCGGGCCTGGGAAGAACGCTAACGGGAACGAAGACGTGGGCGTCTCAGATTGGCTGGAGTATCCGCTGGAGGGTGAGGCGAGGCCGGCCAGCTTCTCAGGAGAGCCCAGCTTGAAGTCTCCATCCCTGGGGGGAAGAGGAGGGGAGGTGGGCCTGGAGGAGCTGGAACCAGAGCCAGAGGAATGCATCAATGCCTGGGTCTCTCCCCCGGGAGAGGAGCTGTCCACCGGCGACTTGATGCATTCAATAACAGTAGTACCCGTAGCAGTGCTGGAGTTGGACAACGAGCCGTAGGGGTCGCCGTTACTTTTGGATTTCAAGTCGTTGAGGAGCCAGAGGTCTGCATAGTCAGACTGAACGGCGCCCTCGTCCTTGAAGGAGTGTGTGTCAGTGGACCCGAACGAGGTGGGCTCTGTCATCTCCACGGTCCTAGGGCTCCTGGGACTCCCCATCCCCCAGGCACCTCCACCACCACCACACACCCCGGCCTCCTCACCCTCCAACCCAGGATTCTCCATCTGCCCTGGGCTGGCCATGTCCAGCTGCAGCCTCATCTCTCTGTCTATGGAAGACACGGGCAGGTTCAGGGTCTGGGTCTGGGTCTGCCCACTACTATGTATCTTTGGTTGGTCCTGGTCGCCCTGCTCATCGCCCTGCTCAGGGGGGACGTTCTCTGGAGCACCAGCGCTACACGTCTCCTTCAACGATGAGCTCCGTTTTGGTGGGGGTGGTTTGACCTTTGGTTTCTTCAGCGTACGACACGGCCTCCCTAGCGTTAAGGTGGCTCCCCTGTAGTCAGAGGACTGAGGAAGGTACCCAGCCATACCCTCTCCCGCGCCGGGCGTCGCGCCCACAGTGTTACCCTGGCCACAGTCAGCGCCAGAGCCCACGGCTGCATAGCTGGACATGTAGCTCCTGTAACTCTGAGCCTGCATGGAGGAGGAGTAGAAGCCCTGGGAGTCTGCTGCAGCAGTAGGAGGAGCTCGGTCTGAGAAGCCGTCGTAGGTGTGGATGCTGGTGAAGTCTATCCTGGTCTGGTCCCCCCTGGAGGAACGCCTGGGGCTGAAGTCCTGACCACACAGCTGATCCTGGTCAGCCTAGAACAGCATAACATAACATTAGATAAGATGAGACAAGATAAGAGAAAAGAGAGGATAAGAGGAGAGGAGAGGAGAGGAGAGGAGAGGAGAGGAGAGGAGAGGAGAGGAGAGGAGAGGAGAGGAGAGGAGAGGAGAGGAGAGGAGAGGAGAGGAGAGGAGAGGAGAGGAGAGGAGAGGAGAGGGGAGGGGAGGGGAGGGGAGGGGAGGGGAGAGAATGATCTATATTGTTAAATAGCTGTGGTACCTGGTCCTGGGGGTAGGCCCACTCTCCCTCGCTGGCAGTGCTGACCCCGGCATCATCCAGCTGGTCAGTGGCTGAGGATGTGAAGGAGCTGGACCTATGACCCTGGTCCTGTAATAATAATGATAATAATTCAATAATAATAATACATCTGATTTATATAGCGCTTTTCCAGTAGCTCATAGTGCTTTACCTAGTTTAGTTAAGTAAATATAGCTTTATTTTGTTTACAGCTAAAATATGAACTTCCTATACAAAAAGTCCCAACAAACAACACAATGTCCAAGTCAATAAATAAAGTAGTGAAGACAGGAAGTCAAAGGTAAGTAGGATCGTCAGAGGGAAACTCACCTGCGGCCGGTCCGAGTGGTACGGGTCGATGATGAAGCCGGTGAGGTCATCGATGGCGTGCGGCGCAGCGTTGAGCGACAGCTCCGAGTCACAGTGGGAGGAGCCGGTCAGAGGGGGGGAGGCGGCAGGGGGGAGTGTCTCAGAGGTCTGGGAGGGGCATGTGGAACTGCTGCCACTCCAGTTACCACTGGACGACTGGTGGTCCTCCTAATAATAATAATAACTGTTATTTGTAGAGCGCTTTTAATCAAATGCAGAAAGCAGAAAGCTCTGCACATCAAATAAGTAAGTCAGCCTTGTCCAAGACAGAATGGCCCATTGGGCAGGAGCCTATCTCCTGTTTCTGTAGTGAGGTAGCTTGATGTACAGTACACCCCCTGGACAGGACACTAGTCTATCTCCTGTTTCTGTATCATGAGGCAGCTTGATGTACAGTACACCCCCTGGACAGGACACTAGTCTATCTCCTGTTTCTGTATCATGAGGCAGCTTGATGTACAGTACACCCCCTGGACAGGACACTAGTCTATCTCCTGTTTCTGTAGTGAGGCAGCTTGATGTACAGTACACCCCCTGGACAGGACACTAGTCTATCTCCTGTTCCTGTATCATGAGGCAGCTTGATGTACAGTACACCCCCTGGACAGGACACTAGTCTATCTCCTGTTTCTGTAGTGAGGCAGCTTGATGTACAGTACACCCCCTGGACAGGACACTAGTCTATCTCCTGTTTCTGTATCATGAGGCAGCTTGATGTACAGTACACCCCCTGGACAGGACACTAGTCTATCTCCTGTTTCTGTAGTGAGGCAGCTTGATGTACAGTACACCCCCTGGACAGGACACTAGTCTATCTCCTGTTCCTGTATCATGAGGCAGCTTGATGTACAGTACACCCCCTGGACAGGACACTAGTCTATCTCCTGTTCCTGTATCATGAGGCAGCTTGATGTACAGTACACCCCCTGGACAGGACACTAGTCTATCTCCTGTTTCTGTAGTGAGGCAGCTTGATGTACAGTACACCCCCTGGACAGGACACTAGTCTATCTCCTGTTCCTGTATCATGAGGCAGCTTGATGTACAGTACACCCCCTGGACAGGACACTAGTCTATCTCCTGTTTCTGTAGTGAGGCAGCTTGATGTACAGTACACCCCCTGCACAGGACACTAGTCTATCTCCTGTTTCTGTAGTGAGGCAGCTTGATGTACAGTACACCCCCTGGACAGGACACTAGTCTATCTCCTGTTTCTGTATCATGAGGCAGCTTGATGTACAGTACACCCCCTGGACAGGACACTAGTCTATCTCTTGTTTCTGTAGTGAGGCAGCTTGATGTACAGTACACCCCCTGGACAGGACACTAGTCTATCTCCTGTTTCTGTAGTGAGGCAGCTTGATGTACAGTACACCCCCTGGACAGGACACTAGTCTATCTCCTGTTCCTGTATCATGAGGCAGCTTGATGTACAGTACACCCCCTGGACAGGACACTAGTCTATCTCCTGTTTCTGTAGTGAGGCAGCTTGATGTACAGTACACCCCCTGGACAGGACACTAGTCTATCTCCTGTTTCTGTATCATGAGGCAGCTTGATGTACAGTACACCCCCTGGACAGGACACTAGTCTATCTCCTGTTTCTGTAGTGAGGCAGCTTGATGTACAGTACACCCCCTGGACAGGACACTAGTCTATCTCCTGTTCCTGTATCATGAGGCAGCTTGATGTACAGTACACCCCCTGGACAGGACACTAGTCTATCTCCTGTTCCTGTATCATGAGGCAGCTTGATGTACAGTACACCCCCTGGACAGGACACTAGTCTATCTCCTGTTTCTGTAGTGAGGCAGCTTGATGTACAGTACACCCCCTGGTCAGGACACTAGTCTATCTCCTGTTCCTGTATCATGAGGCAGCTTGATGTACAGTACACCCCCTGGACAGGACACTAGTCTATCTCCTGTTTCTGTAGTGAGGCAGCTTGATGTACAGTACACCCCCTGGACAGGACACTAGTCTATCTCCTGTTTCTGTATCATGAGGCAGCTTGATGTACAGTACACCCCCTGGACAGGACACTAGTCTATCTCTTGTTTCTGTAGTGAGGCAGCTTGATGTACAGTACACCCCCTGGACAGGACGCTAGTCTATCTCCTGTTCCTGTATCATGAGGCAGCTTGATGTACAGTACACCCCCTGGACAGGACACTAGTCTATCTCCTGTTTCTGTAGTGAGGCAGCTTGATGTACAGTACACCCCCTGGACAGGACACTAGTCTATCTCCTGTTTCTGTAGTGAGGCAGCTTGATGTACAGTACACCCCCTGGACAGGACGCTAGTCTATCTCCTGTTTCTGTATCATGAGGCAGCTTGATGTACAGTACACCCCCTGGACAGGACACTAGTCTATCTCCTGTTTCTGTAGTGAGGCAGCTTGATGTACAGTACACCCCCTGGACAGGACGCTAGTCTATCTCCTGTTTCTGTATCATGAGGCAGCTTGATGTACAGTACACCCCCTGGACAGGATGCTAGTCTATCTCCTGTTTCTGTAGTGAGGCAGCTTGATGTACAGTACACCCCCTGGACAGGACACTAGTCTATCTCCTGTTCCTGTATCATGAGGCAGCTTGATGTACAGTACACCCCCTGGACAGGACACTAGTCTATCTCCTGTTCCTGTATCATGAGGCAGCTTGATGTACAGTACACCCCCTGGACAGGACACTAGTCTATCTCCTGTTTCTGTAGTGAGGCAGCTTGATGTACAGTACACCCCCTGGACAGGACGCTAGTCTGTCTCCTGTTTCTGTATCATGAGGCAGCTTGATGTACAGTACACCCCCTGGACAGGACACTAGTCTATCTCCTGTTTCTGTAGTGAGACAGCTTGATGTACAGTACACCCCCTGGACAGGACGCTAGTCTATCTCCTGTTTCTGTATCATGAGGCAGCTTGATGTACAGTACACCCCCTGGACAGGACACTAGTCTATCTCCTGTTTCTGTAGTGAGGCAGCTTGATGTACAGTACACCCCCTGGACAGGACACTAGTCTATCTCCTGTTCCTGTAGTGAGGCAGCTTGATGACCAGTACACCCCCTGGACAGGACACTAGTCTATCTCCTGTTCCTGTAGTGAGGCAGCTTGATGACCAGTACACCCCCTGGACAGGACACTAGTCTATCTCCTGTTTCTGTAGTGAGGCAGCTTGATGTACAGTACACCCCCTGGACAGGACACTAGTCTATCTCCTGTTCCTGTAGTGAGGCAGCTTGATGACCAGTACACCCCCTGGACAGGACACTAGTCTATCTCCTGTTTCTGTAGTGAGGCAGCTTGATGTTCAGTACACCCCCTGGACAGGACACTAGTCTATCTCCTGTTTCTGTAGTGAGGCAGCTTGATGTACAGTACACCCCCTGGACAGGACACTAGTCTATCTCCTGTTTCTGTAGTGAGGCAGCTTGATGTACAGTACACCCCCTGGACAGGACACTAGTCTATCTCCTGTTCCTGTAGTGAGGCAGCTTGATGTACAGTACACCCCCTGGACAGGACACTAGTCTATCTCCTGTTCCTGTATCATGAGGCAGTTTGATGTACAGTACACCCCCTGGACAGGACACTAGTCTATCTCCTGTTTCTGTAGTGAGGCAGTTTGATGTACAGTACACCCCCTGGACAGGACACTAGTCTATCTCCTGTTTCTGTAGTAGGGCAGCTTGATGTACAGTACACCCCCTGGACAGGACACTAGTCTATCTCCTGTTTCTGTAGTGAGGCAGTTTGATGTACAGTACACCCCCTGGACAGGATGCTAGTCTATCTCCTGTTTCTGTAGTGAGGCAGCTTGATGTACAGTACACCCCCTGGACAGGACACTAGTCTATCTCCTGTTTCTGTAGTGAGGCAGCTTGATGTACAGTACACCCCCTGGACAGGATGCTAGTCTGTCGCAGGGCCTGCACATCAAAAACAAACATCAAAAGGCTAAAAGCAAAAGAAGACAAGATACACAGATAAGTGAAGGTGACAGCAAAGACGTACCTTGTGGTCTATCTGTCCTCTCAGCACCCCCGTGGTGGAGACAGAGTGGATAGGGCTGCTGAAGGTGTCTGAGCTGGAGGAGATCTCACAGCTCCCCATGTCAACCTGACGGGGGAGACGGGAGCGACCCCTCTCCATCCACATGTGTTCTGGACTCCCCCCGTCTCCTTGCTGCAGCTCTGGCATGGCCTGGTCGTCCGCACTCTCCTCCTCGTCCTTCAACATCCTCGGCCCCGTTCCCGTCTCGTACGGAGAGAGCTCCTCATCGTCATCATCATCATCGTCGTCATCATCATCGTCATCTTCATCACTGTCGTCCTGGTCCTCGTCGCGGATGCGGCCTCCCTCGCGGGGGAGGCTGCGGGAGCGTAGGCGGGAGCCCGAGGCGGTGTACATGGCGGTGTCAGGGTGGTCGGGAAGCGAGGAGATGTTCCCTGTGGAGTGGGAGAGGGAGGCGGGGATGCCCCCCTGGCCGCCGCGCTGGGCACGTATACGTCTCCTGGACGGGGCGCCACCGCCACCGGTCAGGCAGTCATCTGTCTGGCAGCCGGAGTCCTTGGTGTGTCCCCCTCGGAGGGAGAGCTCCTCCTGACAGAGGGACAGGTGAGGGTTGGCGTGGATGATCACTGTCCTCTCCCTCGCCACCGGAGACTCATCAGAGTCTGAAGGGAAACAGGGGTGGCATTGATTAGTAAGTCATCAATCAACATGATTAGAAAATAAAGTATGAGTCTCCTGCCTTTTCTATCAATGAAATTCAGGCAGATAAAAAAAAAGTCTAAACGCCAGGACAAATATGCATGTTTGTTTGTCTACAGAAAGTAGGATTGGTTGACTGGTGATAACAGTACTTGGAGGTCAGGCACAGACAGACACAGACAGACAGACAGACAGACAGACAGACAGACAGACAGACAGACAGACAGACAGACAAACAGCCAGAGACAGATAGACAGACAACATAACTGACAGACAGTATAACAGACAGACAGACAGTATAAAAGACAGACAGAGAGACAGCCAGAGACAGACAGACAGATAGACAGACAGTATAACTGACAGACAGACAGACAGTATAACAGACAGACAGAGAGACAGCCAGAGACAGACAGACAGATAGACAGACAGTATAACAGACAGACAGCCGTACCCATGTCCTGTTGAACTCGTCTGGGGATACCAGTGATGGTCTTCCTCCTCCTCAGCTTCCTCCTCCTCTGCAGCACAGACTGGGAGTGTACCAGGGAGCAGCGCACGCTAGCCTCCCTGTCGAACCCCACCCCTGTGGAGAGAAACAAAGCACACGTGAGAGAGCTGCTCTGGAAGCACTTCATTGATGTCATTTATTGTCCATCAAGAGTAATGTCTTTCCACATCTCACAAATTACATTCCACACAGTTTACAAGTTACACGCACTCACTAATACACAAACAACAGTTAATTAATAGATTAATTGATTCAAACTAGAGAGAGATAGAGAGAGAGAGAGAGAGGGAGAGAGAGAGAGAGAGAGAGAGAGAGAATGTACAGAGAGAGAGAGGGAGAGAGAGGGAGAGAGAATGTACACAGATAGATAGATAGATAGATAGAGAGAGAGAGAGAGAGAGAGAGAGAGAGAGAGAGAGAGAGAGAGAGAGAGAGAGAGAGAGAGAGAGAGAGAGAGAGAGAGAGAGAGAGAGAGAGAGAGAGAGAGAGAGAGCGAGAGAGATTGAGGGAATATCAAACACATCCAGAGACAGAGATGGAGTCATGTTGTGTGTTACCAGTGACATTGATGGGGATGATGCATGAGGACACGACAGCTGGGTCACTCTTCATCCTCTCCTGGGGAGTGGGCAGTGGCAGGGCCTTGGACCAGTTGGTCTGCTTGTCCAGCGTGGAGGGGGGGTTGGGGATAGCACACTTAGACCTGTGGCCCACTGCAGGCTCTGCATCAGGGTCTGTGGTAGTGGCAGCCTGATGCAGATGGCCAGAAATATGGTTAGTTGGGGTTTTAGGGTTAGTGCAACACTTAGAAGAGTTCAAAATGGCATACTATTCCCTATATACTGTACTGCTATAGGACCAGAGCCTCATGGTTCACTCGGGAATAGAGAACAAGGAGCCATTTTGGACACATACTTAGATGTGTTGTTACAAAGGGCAACATACAAAGTAAATTGCGTTCTGGCATTTACTTAACTCTTAGGTTTAACACTTACAAGTTATACACTTACAAGGCACAGACACAAAATGAGCAAAACGTTTTAATTCCATTGCAGTAAATGACAGCTGTTCTGGAGGAAAGGGAAATGAAGGTCAGGAAGATATTAAGATCAAGACAGAGATCAAGAGACAGCTCAAACGCTCAAGTGTCAAAGAATATGATCCCAGGAAAGTCCCAGAGTTCTGGATAGTGGTCAGAAGTTGAGAGGAGAATGATGATGTTTTGAAGATGAAGACAGTAGACAGGAACTAATGAGATGAAGACAGTAGACAGGAACTAATGCTATGAAGACAGTAGACAGGAGCTAATGAGATGAAGACAGTAGACAGTGAGCTAATTAGTATGAAGACAGTCGACAGGAGCTAATGAGATTGAAGACAGGTCGACAGGAGCTAATGATGATGAAGCCAGTAGACAGGAGCTAAATGAGATGAAGGACAGTAGACAGGAGCTAATGAGATGAAAGACAGTCGACTGGGAACTAATGCTATGAAGGACAGTAGACAGGAGCTAATGTAGATGAATGACAGTAGACATGACTATTAGACTGGAACTAATGAATGAAGACAGTAGACAGGAGCTAATGAGATGAAGACAGTAGACAGGAGCTAATGAGATGAAGACAGTAGACAGGAGCTAATGAGATGAAGACAGTAGACAGGAGCTAATGAATGAAGACAGTAGACAGGAGCTAATAAGATGAAGACAGTAGACAGGAGCTAATGAGATGAAGACAGTAGACTGTAGACAGGAGCTAATGAGATGAAGACAGTAGACAGGAGCTAATGAGATGAAGACAGTAGACAGGAGCTAATGAGATGAAGACAGTAGACAGGAGCTAATGAGATGAAGACAGTAGACAGGAGCTAATAAGATGAAGACAGTAGACAGGAGCTAATGAGATGAAGACAGTAGACTGTAGACAGAAGCTAATGAGATGAAGACAGTAGACAGGAGCTAATGAGATGAAGACAGTAGACAGAAGCTAATAAGATGAAGACAGTAGACAGAAGCTAATGAGATGAAGACAGTAGACAGGAGCTAATAAGATGAAGACAGTAGACAGGAGCTAATGAGATGAAGACAGTAGAACAGGAGCTAATGAGATGAAGACAGTAGACAGAAGCTAATAAGATGAAGACAGTAGACAGGAGCTAATGAGATGAAGACAGTAGACAGGAGCTAATGAGATGAAGACAGTAGACAGGAGCTAATGAGATGAAGACAGTAGACAGGAGCTAATGAGACACAGCCCATCTGAAATTAGCCCGCCCAACTACCTCATCCCTATATTGTTATTTATTTTGCTCATTTGTACCCCAGTATCTCTATTTGCACATCATCTCTTGCACATCTATCATTCCAGTGTTAATACTAATTGTAATTATTTTGCACTATAGCCTATTTATTGCCTTACCTCCATAACTTGCTACATTTGCACACACTGTATATATATGTATTTCTGTTGTATTTTTGACTTTGTTTTTGTTTTACACCCCATATGTAACTCTGTGTTTTGTTTTTATCGCACTGCTTTGCTTTATCTTGGCCAGGTCGCAGTTGTAAATGAGAACTTGTTCTCAACTGGTTTACCTGGTTAAATAAAGGTGAAATAAAAAAAATAAAAAAAATGAAGACAGTAGACTGTAGACAGGAGCTAATGCTATGAAGAGAGTAGACAGTAGACAGGAGCTAATGAGATGAAGACAGTAGACAGGAGCTAATGAGATGAAGACAGTAGACAGGAGCTAATGAGATGAAATCAGTAGACAGGAGCTAATGAGATAGACAGTAACAGGAGCTAATAAGATGAAGACAAGTAGACCAGAGCTAATAAAGCTGAAGACAGTAGACAGGAGCTAATAAGATGAATACAGTAAGACAGGAGCTAATCTATTAAGACAAGTAAGACAGTAGACGGAGCTAATGGATGAAGACAGTAGACTGTAGACAGGAGCTAATGCTATGAAGAGAGTAGACAGAGCTAATGAAGATTGACTACAGTAGACAGGAGTCTAATGAGATGAAGAACAGTAGACAGGAGCTAATGAAAGATGAAGACAGTATACAATGATGCTATGAGATGAAGACAGTAGACAGGAGCTAATGAGATGAAGACATTAGACATGAGTAGTCTAATAAGATGGAAAGACAGTATAACGTAGGAGCTAATAAGATGAGACAGACAGGAGCTAATGAGATGAAGACAGTAGACAGGAGCTAATGAATAAGACAGTAGACATGAGCTAATAAGATGAAGACAGTAGACCAGGAGCTAATGAGATGAAGACAGTGAAGTAGACAGGAGCTAATGAGATGAAGAACGTAGACAGAAGCTAATGAGATGAGACAGTAGACAGGAGCTAATGAGATGAAGACAGTAGACAGGAGCTAATAAGATGAAGACAGTAGACAGGAGCTAATGAGATGAAGACAGTAGACAGGAGCTAATGAGATGAAGACAGTAGACAGGAGCTATGCTATGAAGACAGTAGACATAGACAGGAGCTAATAAGATGAAGACAGTAGACAGGAGCTAATGAGATGAAGACAGTAGACAGGAGCTAATGAGATGCTAGAGAACAGCAGGAAGGAGAGGTAGTAGTAGTAGTTCTATCTAGAACTAGTAGTATAATTAATTTAGGGCCTGTAGATTTTAAACCACGAGGCTTGGCATGCAGACAAATACCTTTCTGGTCCATGGGGTGAAGAGGCAACATTCAGTGGGGGAGAGGGAGCGGGTACGGTCATACTACAAACACAAAACATGAAGAAAACAAAAATGATGACAACTTGATCGACGGGACAAATGAAAACCATGGATTGGACTTGGAGACATGGGTGAAATCATATTGAATGAAACATATGACAGACAGGATAAAACATGGGGACCCATGTGTTGCGGACTAGGGACACAAAGCATTGTGTGTAACTTCTTGTGATGCTAAGGAGATTGAAGACATCCTTCTTCACCTATTAGACAAGAAGTGATTTCATCATCCCATCCTACAAGAAACTGGAGTGAAAGAATGATATTCATCTGTGAATGATGAGAGGTGACTGTTTTCAGGATCCTCAGGACAGAAAGCTGTTATAAGCTGTAATAAGAGTGACGTTAGCATGACGTTAGAGGGGTCATCCTGCAATGAATGCCATCCCATTTACCTTTCTCTGTATAGTGTGACAGTGAACCTCCCTTCCAGGTCTCTCCTGCAGCGTTAAGGGAAGATACGTAGCACGATGAGACATAACGCTAAACATTCTGATGTGGAATACAAACAAACTCACAAGCATGCAAACTCACTGGGATGGGAAATGTATGATAAAACATGCGATGAGATCAGGTAACCTAGCGGTTAGAGAGGCGAGCCAGAAACCGGAGGGTTGCCTGTTTAAATCCCAGGTCTGACGGGGAAAATCGGGCGGGAAGTGATCAAATCATAGATACTTAACCCCCACAACAACAGCTCCCAGTGTGGCAGCCCCCTGCACCTCTCCAAAACCCGTGTATGGATGTGTGTCTTTCGGAGGGGTTGGGTTAAGAGCGGAAGTCAAATTTTGGTTGGCCCTTGTGTGCAATTGACCATTAAAGTGATCTTAATGAAGATGTATGTGTTCTGATGAGATACAAGAGCTATGCCTTTTCTGTTACCTTTCTTTGTATTGTCTGGATGTCTGTCTCTCTCATGTGTCTCTCCTAGTGGTAGCCATGCAGCAGGGAGAGAACACAACAAGCTGAAAAATACTAGGCCCACTGCACTGCACTGGTGACATCATCAACAATGGACACATACACTACTATATCAAGTTAAGAAGAAATTCAACTGTATTTTCATAGTTACAGTTACAGGACCACAATGTGAAAACACAGTGGACACACGTGGACAACACACACCACTTGTACGTTGACAACACACACCACTTGTAGGTTGACATCACACACCACTTGTAGGTTGACAACACACACCACTTGTAGGTTGACATCACACACCACTTGTAGGTTGACATCACACACCACTTGTAGGTTGACATCACACATCACTTGTAGGTTGACAACACACACCACTTGTAGGTTGACAACACACACCACTTGTAGGTTGACAACACACACCACTTGTAGGTTGACAACACACACCACCTGTAGATTGACAACACACACCACTTGTAGGTTGACAACACACACCACCTGTAGATTGACAACACACACCACTTGTAGGTTGACAACACACACCACTTGTAGGTTGACATCACACACCACTTGTAGGTTGACAACACACACCACTTGTAGGTTGACAACACACACCACTTGTAGGTTGACAACACACACCACTTGTAGGTTGACAACACACACCACTTGTACGTTGACATAACACACCACTTGTAGGTTGACAACACACACCACTAACAGGCACTACACTATGTGGTAGTTTACCTTCCGTGGTTGATATTCTATCTCTCTCTCTGGTCTCGCCTGCTGCTTGACAATAAAACAAACATATACAGTCAAGTCATTTCAGCACTTCTCCTCAGGACATTGATTAGCTGCTGTATCAGGTGTGCTTGTGTAGGGCTGGAGTAAAAGCCTGTAAAGACGTGTCTCCCCTTACCGCACGGCTGTGCCTGCCCCTCTGCTCGTGCCGTCTGAGGGTGCGTGGGGAAGGGAGGGTGGGCATCGGAGGAGCCCCAGAGATGGAGATGGTCACTCTGCGCTCGCTGCTGGTCGACCGTTGACGTTGCTGTTGGTCTGTAAACCATGAGGGGAAATACTGTGGTCAGATTCTGACAGGGTCTCGCTACATTAGATTATAATATTCACTAGCAGTCACCATGTTGTGTTACAGTTACAACAGCCACTGGTTCCTCACTGAGATCATATCAGTCAAGAGTTTTCTAGAACTCAGACAAGCAGGTGTCCACTGTACGAACACTAGGTGGCACTATATATGAGGGATACTGACTGAATTGACACCAACCCTGGTTCAAACTGTTGTTAGGTGGGGTGTGTATGGTGTGTGTGTGTGTGTGTGTGCTCTGGTCAGTGGTTCCCCAGCTCTGTGTAGGGCAAAGAAGCTCTGCTTGGCATGTCTGTGTTAGGTGGTCTGTCTTAGGTGGTGTATGTTAGATGGTGTATGTTAGGTGGTCTGTCTTAGGTGGTGTATGTTAGGTGATGTATGTTAGGTGGTGTATGTTAGGTGGTGTATGTTAGGTGTTAGGTGGTGTATGTTAGGTGGTGTATGTTAGGTGTTAGGTGGTGTATGTTAGGTGTTCGGTGGTGTATGTTTGGTGTTAGGTGGTGTTTGTTGTGTTAGGTGGTGTATGTTAGGTGTTAGGTGGTGTTGTTGTGTTAGGTGGTGTTGTTTAGGTGGTGTATGTTTGGGGGTTTTGTGTTGTGTGTATTTCGTGGTTTGTTTTGGTGTTAGGTGTGTATTATGGTGGTGTATGTTTGTGTTTGGTGGTGTTGTTGGTGTTGGTGGGTATGTTTGGTGTTGGTGGTGTATGTTGGTGTTAGTGTGTTAGTGTTAGGTGGTGTATGTTAGGTGTTAGGTGGTGTTTGTTATGTGTTTGGTGGTGTTATTGGTGTGTATTGTTGTGTTTTGGTGTGGTGGTTGTTGTTATGTTGTGGTGTATGTTGTGTGTCGTTGTGTTGGTGTTAGGTTGGTGTTGTTATGTGTTGGTGGTGTTGTTAGTGGTGTTGTGTTTGTGTTGGTGTGTGTATGGTTTGTGTGTTAGTTGGTTGTTGTTGTGTGGTGTGCTTTTGGTGTTCGGTGGTGTCGTTGTTGTGTTGGGTGTTGTTGTTTGGTTGTTGTGTTGGTGGTGTTGTTGGTGTTCGTATGTTGGTTGTTGGTGGTGTAGTGTGTTTTTGTGTGTTGGTGGTGTATGTTTTGTTAGTGTGGTGTTGTTGGTGGTGTTGTTGGTGTTGGTGGTGTTGTTGTGGTGTGTTGTTAGTGTTGTGGTGGTTGTCTTATGTGTGGTGTATGTTGTGTTAGGTGTTCGTGGTGTGTTTTGTGTGTTGTGTGTTTATTGGTGTTTTAGGTGGTGTCTGTTAGTGTTGTGTGGTGTTTGTTGTGGTGTATGTTCGGTTCGGTGGTGTATTTGGTGTTAGGTGGTGTATGTTATGTGTTCGTGGTTGTATTTGGTGGTGTATGGTTGGTGGTGTCTGTTAGGTGGTGTATGTTACTGTTCGGCTGGTGTCTGTTCTGTGCTCTGTGCTTCTCTCCTTCGGATGGTTCTGTCTGGTGGTGTCCTGTTCGGTCCTGTCCCGTGCGGCCCCCCTGTACAGTGAGGGAAAAAAGTAATTTTGATCCCCTGCTGATTTTGTACGTTTTCCCACTGACAAAGAAAATGATCAGTCTATAATTTTAATGGTAGGTTTATTTGAACAGTGAGAGACAGAATAACAACAAAAAAATCCAGAAAAACACATGTCAAAAATGTTTAAATTGATTTTCATTTTAATGAGGGAAATACGTATTTGACCCCCTCTCAATCAGAAAGATTTCTGGCTCCCAGGTGTCTTTTATACAGGTAACGAGCTGAGATTAGGAGCACACTCTTAAAGGGAGTGCTCCTAATCTCAGCGTGTTACCTGTATAAAAGACACCTGTCCACAGAAGCAATCAATCAATCAGATTCCAAACTCTCCACCATGGCCAAGACCAAAGAGCCAAGGATGTCAGGGACAAGATTGTAGACCTACACAAGGCTGGAATGGGCTACAAGACCATCGCCAAGCAGCTTGGTGAGAAGGTGACAACAGTTGGTGCGATTATTCGCAAATGGAAGAAACACAAAAGAACTGTCAATCTCCCTCGGCCTGGGGTTCCATGCAAGATCTCACCTCGTGGAGTTGCAATGATCATGAGAACGGTGAGGAATCATTCCAGAACTACACAGGAGGATCTTGTCCATGATCTCAAGGCAGCTGGGACCATAGTCACCAAGAAAACAATTGGTAACACACTACGCCGTGAAGGACTGAAATTCTGCAGCGCCCGCAAGGTCCCCCTGCTCAAGAAAGCACATATACATGCCCGTCTGAAGTTTGCCAATGAACATCTGAATGATTCAGCGGAGAACTGGGTGAATGAGATGAGACCAAAATTGTGGTCAGATGAGACCAAAATCGAGCTCTTTGGCATCAACTCAACTCGCCATGTTTGGAGGAGAAGGAATGCTGCCTATGACCCCAAGAACACCATCCCCACCGTCAAACATGGAGGTGGAAACATTATGCTTTGGGGGTGTTTTTTTGCTAAGGGGACAGGACAACTTCACCGCATCAAAGGGACGATGGACGGGGCCATGTACCGTCAAATCTTGGGTGAGAACCTCCTTCCCTGAGCCAGGGCATTGAAAATGGGTCGTGGATGGGTATTCCAGCATGACAATAACCCAAAACACACGGCCAAGGCAACAAAGGAGTGGCTCAAGAAGAAGCACATTAAGGTCCTGGAGTGGCCTAGCCAGTCTCCAGACCTTAATCCCATAGAAAATCTTTGGAGAGAGCTGAAGGTTTGAGTTGCCAAACGTCAGCCTCGAAACCTTAATGACTTGGAGAAGATCTGCAAAGAGTAGTGGGACAAAATCCCTCCTGAGATGTGTGCAAACCTGGTGGCCAACTACAAGAAACGTCTGACCTCTGTGATTGCCAACAAGGGTTTTGCCACCAAGTACTAAGTCATGTTTTGCAGAGGGGTCAAATACTTATTTCCCTCATTAAAATGCAAATCAATTTATAACATTTTTGACATGCGTTTTTCAGCCTTTTTTTGTTGTTATTCTGTCTCTCACTGTTCAAATAAACCTACCATTAAAATTATAGACTGATCATTTCTTTGTCAGTGGGCAAATGTACAAAATCAGCAGGGGATCAAATACTTTTTTCCCTCACTGTATGTTAGGTGGTGTATGTTAGGTGGTGTATGTTAGGTGTTGTGTGTTAGGTGTTGTGTGTTCGGTGGTGTGTGTGCATATGCCTGCGTCCTTTTGTGTTTACGTCCATGTGACCTCTCACCTCTGTGCAGGGCTCGCAGGCTCTGCTTGGCATGCCTGTGGAGCTCCTCTACGCATGGTGGCCGGCTGCAGGGGTGAAACACGTTGTGGTGTTGGTGCCATGGGGCCTGGTAGTGAACCGTCAGCTTACTCTCCACATCCAGGTTGGAGACGGCTAGGGAGACAATAGATTGTTCATATTTATATTCTTCGAAAGAGAGCGGACAGACAGACAGCAGGTTAGGTTCTGCTGTACTTTTAATTCATTGGCTGTTGTGATTGTTATTCATTGACAGGGTTCTGAAGATAGGGAGAGAGAGAGAACAGGAGAATGGATCGTTATTATTCATTTGCACATAAATTCTTTTTTTTGCTATCACTGGGAGAGAAGACACTCAGCTATGTTTTTAGACACGGTATGACCCCAACAGTATGACCCCAACAGCCTTCCATAAACAGCTGCAAGTTTGGTTTTCCAGCTACAATCACACCAAGACCTTGATATAAATCAATAAATAAAATATACATATAATTCAATTAATTATATATACATATAATTTATATACACATATATATTGAAATATTTCAGAGCAAAGGATCAAAATGTCATTCTGACTTTGAACTTAAGAGGAAACCCGCCCAACATGAACAGGAGGAATACAGGAGTTATGAAACCAGTCCCTGCAATTCCACACCAGCAGGGGTCAGTAACACATATCAACATCAACTGAATTAAGCCGACAACTGCTATAATGACAGACGTCCGTGTTTCCTCAAAACACCATCTCTGCTGCTGTTATACATTAACACACAAATGCACAGAACATGTGATTTCAAGGGGCTGTGGTGTTATTATGATTCAGGCAAGAGACAATGCTGCTTTTATCCTGCAAGGCTGGGAGAGGGGGAATAGAGGGGGGAGAGAGAGGAGAGAGGAGAGAGGGAGGAGAGGGAGGAGAGAGGGAGGATGAGAGGAGGAGAGAAGAGAGGGAGGAGGAGGGAGGAGGGAGAGGAGAGGAGTATGGGGGAGGGGAGAAGAGGCTGGGGAGGATGATCGACTTCTTGTCTTCCTCTGTTAGATATTTCCTAGGAGGTTCTCGCACTCTTTCGTTCTGTCGTCTCTCTTTTCCTCTCTCTTCTCTCTCTTCTCCTCTTCTCTCTTCTCTCTTTCTTCTCTTCTTCTCTTCTCTTTCTTCTCTCTTCGTCGCGGCATATACAGAAGGAGATGTAACCCTCTTTCTTTCATCACTCTTTTATCTTCTGGCCTTGCTTTCATTTCAATCCTCATATTACAACAGCAGCATCTGTTCATTAACATCTACAGTAGGTGTGTGTGCGTGTGCGTGTGTCTGTGTGATGTGTGTTCACTGTGCGTGTCTGAGAGTTAGTTTGCTGTGTGCGTGTTTGTGTGTGTAGTCTGTTGTTCCCTTGAATAAACCAGGCTCATCTGTAACCAGGCAACCCTTCATATCTGATGTAGGATGAATAGAATGATCTCTATCAATCCATAATCATGAGACTAATGTGGATGAGACGATCTGTCCAGGTCTGATGATTTAAGCCCAGAGAAAGCAGAACATTCAACAGGTCCCTGACAGCCAGAAGATGAATAAACACAGCTATATTGCACAGTGTATGTTACCAGCTGGGTTGTGCCTCTGTACAAGACTGTTACCCTGCTAAAGCCTAGCTTCAGGTCTCAGGCAAGGTTATTCATCACACTGTTGCACAAGACTGTTACCCTGCTAAAGCCTAGCTTCAGGTCTCAGGCAAGGTTATTCATCACACTGTTGCACAAGACTGTTACCCTGCTAAAGCCTAGCTTCAGGTCTCAGGCAAGGTTATTCATCACACTGTTGCACAAGACTGTTAGCCTGCTAAAGCTTCAGGCCTAAGGCAAGGTTATTCATCACACTTGATGCACAAGACTGTGTTATCCCACTGAGCTAAAGCCTAGGCATCTTCACCCTCCCCTTTGACCTGCATCAGTGGGCTAACACAGTCTTGTGGCGCACAGGAGTTCGAACCCAGTCGGTATATTGGAGCCAGTTGGAGGGTTCAACCAATGTGGTCTGAAGAGTTCTACAACAGTACTTAGAGTCTTTAACTGACAATTAAGGGAGTACTGCTAGCGATGGGGGAAAAAATCGATACAGTTTCATATTGGGATATTATTTTTAACGATATATCACATCGTATTGTTTTGACAATATCGCAATATTATTTTTGTGCTAGTTGGCAGTACCTGCACCAAAACTCCAGTATTTTCCCTTCATAGCTTGTTCTCCATATAAAAATAAATAAATAGGGAACCAACATATTTTCATCACTTTTATTTCCATGACTGATCAAAACTCATTTTCTCATGACTCTCTCTTGTTCCTCTGCAGCAGATATATGGTGAGCAATATGATTGGACCATCGAATGGCAATAAAATCACAGTATCGATTCGCAATACATATAGAATCGTGAGAATCGCAAGAATCACAATAATCACAATATATATCGTATCGGCACCTAAGTATTGTGATAATATCGTATTGTGAGGTCCCTGGCAATTCCCCGCCCTAGTTACTGCCTTCAGCCACTGCTGCTATAATGGAGTAGAGGTGGTGGATTAG